TCGCGGCTGGCGGGCCGAGGTGGCCGAGTACAGTTTCCTGGAGATGGCGAGACGCGGATCGACACGGTCATGGACTGGGACGGGCTGGCGTGGTCGGAGGGGGATCTCGGGCTGCGGCCTCGGGCTGGCGCGCCGAGGCTCGTGTCGAGGACGTTGTGGGACAAGGGGCGCGTTGGCGGCGAGGGGGCGTGGCATCGGTGGGATGCGCGGTTCTGGGCGAGGGAGCATTTTGAGGTCACGAGCCGTGTCTAGCTGTGTAGACAAGAATGGCAGGCCGTGACGTTGATGGCGCAGACCGGCATTGGCGCCTGGACATGTTGCTATTACAGAGCTCCTGTCGAGGCACTGGTCTTCCATCTATGATTCCTGTAGCTCATGACGTGATATAGAGCACGAGGCAAGATTCCCGAGATACATCTGCAAGAAGCAAGGTCGTATTGGTGACGCCTCGGCCGAATACCAAAACGAGTTTCACTCGACTCTCCGGCTATTGCGCCGTAACATGACAAGGTAAAGTCTGCACTGCCTCACGCCTCGATGGCGTCCAGGCCGCTGCCATCGACTGCGTGTGGCTCTTTACCTCCTGCAACCCAGATATCGGACATGTCGACGAGGACGAGCCATCATGTTGGTACCATGGAAGCAGGGTAGTAGACATTTGCTTTTGGCATGGAAAGGATCCAGCGTTGATAACTGGCGCATCAGTTCCATCCACCACGGACATGTCGCCAGCCAGCTTTCTCCATATCAGCCAGACGTCCATGACAGCGACCAGCATGACCAACTCAAACATCACCAGCGTCAAGGACCCCAACACAGCCTCGCCAGAACACAAATCATCATTGCCGGTATGTCCGGATCAAAAAGAAGGCTCCGCCATCGGTCAACTCTAGCCTAAACTCATCCGAGACGCCTGATCCCTTCGCCCAACATGGATATCATGGGGGCCGTCGCGGACTGTGGGGGAAAAATACAAATGTACGGTGTGCGTAGACTCATCAACAGCTCATCCCGTGCCCATCAGCATACGCAGAACGCCGTAGGAAGCCGTAACACGTCGCAGCGGTGATGGGCCATCCAACAGTCTTTCCCTGCTGCAGCCTGCTTTTGCTGCAGCCTGCTTTTGCTGCAGCCTGCTTTTGCTGCAGCCTGCTTTTGCTGCAGCCTGCTTTCCTCTGCTTTCCTTTGCTGCAGCCTGCTTCGCACTGCAGCCCTCCCGTCTCCCTGTCCCGTGCCCTGGCAGCACTACCAGACACGCAGCTTAGACAATCATCTGCGCGACGCCGTGGCCGCCGAGCGTCTTGGAGCCGACAAAGTCCTGGCCCTTGATGGCGGCGAGCAGGTAGAAAATGCCGGCAATCAGCAGGAAGACGCCGGCGGCGATCAGCGAGGTCCTCGAGGCGATGGTGCTGAGGAACTGAATGACGGCCATGACGGCGTAGGCGGCGGCGCGCATGTAGTTGGTCGAGACCTTGCGGATGGCTTCGTCGAACTTGGACGAGGTCGGGCAGATACGGAGGAGCAGGGGCACCTCGATGAAGAGGATGACAAAGGCGGAGACGCTGCGCACAGGGATGAGCGGTTGTCACGGCGGAGACGGGTGCGGGGAGGGGAGAGGCTCACAGGGCGAGGGCGCAGAAGATGATGATGACAACGTTAAATGTGAAGATGTTGGCGATGCCCAGCGCCAAGCACAGGATCATGGCCAAGATGCCGGCCCTGTCGAATGTCAGCTTCTGAGGTACCAGTCTGTATCGGCGAGGGCCCAGCAAGGCTGAACGCCATGGCATCGGGCGTGCAGGCAGAGCTGCGATGGCTTCGTCGCAGGGGCGATAGCTTCGTCGCAGGGGCCCGAGGAGGATGACGCAAAGGTCAACGCTAGCTTACCATTGTCCGTAGATGCCTGCGCGGGGTTAGCGAAACGAACTGGCGTCAAGTCAATTGCGTCGAGGAGATGCATACTGAAGTTGCGGGTCTGGAACTCTTCCTTGAGAGTCATGGTGAGGATGGAGTGATGGTTCTATTGGGGTGAGATGCGCTGGCTATCGGAGCTGTGTCGATCAGGTATCGGAGGCTAATGCCAATCGGATAACGGTCGATAGATAGTGCTCGTGAATCGTGTCGGGATGGATGGCGGTAGCAGATGCGATGGGGATGGAAAGAGGCGACGTTCTGGGAGAAAAAGTGCTATGTTCGGCAATGGCTGTGTTGTCGACGAGAGGATCTGTCGTTACCTACAGTGGGTGGGTGTACGTTGCCTCTCGGGGGTCCTGGTTGGCGGGTGGAGGCTGGTCGTGTCTTGGAGTCTTGCGTGGCCCCACTCTGCTTTGGCCGGGCAGCGGCTCCTCACACACACTTTTTCTCGACATTGGCGGGCGCCTTCCCAGGCCTGTTTTGTGCGGCGTGTCCTGCGTGTCCTGCGTGAGGTGTCCTGCAGCCTTGGAATGGCGTGGCGGCAGCTGCGACTGACAGCTGACGGCAAGTGCTGCTGGTGCGCCTTCTGCAAGTGCTACTTGCCTGCTCTTGCAGTCCTGGTCTTGTCTGCCTTCTCCAAGTCCCTTCTGTCTATGCCTGCCTTGCGGCGATCGCCGTTCGAGCAAAGGACTGAAACACGCTCTGAACACGTTCTGCTTGACCCTTGGCACGGACTGCCCGTTGGCCCTGCACTGTGTTTTCCTTCGATTGATTGATTGATGGATTCCTTAAACGAGAACAGAAGCAGCAGATGAGCCGAAGAACTGGTCCCCACGGAAGACACATATACTACTTTGCTCGCATCAGGCACCTACAGCACCGCCTCGCCGCAGCCGTGACGAACAAGAGTACGCGTACGTGCCACTGCGCCGCCTCTAGGCGGCGACATGCTGTACTTGACCCAACGTGCACAACGCCAATGGCCCGATGGCCTTCTTCTACCAACGCTGGGGCCGTCTGCCCCAACAAGTCATTTGTACGGTGCTGCCGCCCGTGGGGATGCCAACGGCTCTGCTGTGTGCATGTGCCCGACTTCACTTCCATCAACATGCGTGTCTCACGAGGGGCCATAGGCAGCGGGTCAGATGCCTTTCTCTGTCTAACACTGATCTTGCAGTTGGGCTCTGGTTTTCTGTCTCTAAGCACCAGCCACAATCAGTCTTCAAATCTTCAAAGTCATCATTGATCTCAATAGCAACATCATCGCACAGTTCCGATCAAGGCAGAGACAAGTAGGCACTTCTGATCTGTTGCCGCGCCCTGGGAGCCGTCAGACTGGGGATCGCCAGCCGGCCTGCCTGCCTGTATGCCGCCGAACGACTTGCGCTCGGCCAGAATCGCGCCGAGCGTCTAGCAGACACTCCAATTCGTCATGCCCATCTGCAAAGGGACAGGCAAGCAGTCAGTCAGGCAGACACGCAAAGAAAGTCTGCCCTCAAGGTCCTCAGACCTGTCCAGGGGCCGTCGACTACACTAGAAGCTGCCGGCCGACTTGCTACAGGAACGGCATGCCTACACCGACAAGTCCATGTTCATGCGGTCGAGGACCCTCCCTCTGCCCCCCCC